TCAAGCGGCAGAACGCCCACCCTCCTCCCTCCCGTGGTTACCTAGGGCTGTGGCTTTTTTTTTTTTTTTTTTTTGAGGTTTTCCGCTTTGAAAACACATAGAGGGTCTAATTTCTGATCAGCCAAACGCATCCCCAAAAGCTGTCCCTGTCATTTCTGTTCCCGGGATGCTTGTTCCCCAGCAGCATCCCCCCCCCACAAGAAGGCATCTGCCACTTGCCTCCTGGAGCTGAAGGGGTGAAGGGACCACTCACCTGCCTCGCTGGCGTCTGCTGGTTAAAAGGGACACAGTCTAGTTTATTAGGGTTCACAAGACGTTTAAGGAGCTGGTGCAGCAGCTCTTTCATTAAGGAGTGTCACTGCAGAACGTCAGAAGCAATTGGTGAATAAGTCCCACAAGGGTCGGGTTTGGAGGCAGTGAGTCCATTAGTCCTATTAGGGCGTCTGCATCTCAGTGAAAGAGGCTGAATTATTCACGAGCATGCCTCTTCCCCTAAAAGCCTGGGAAGTGCGGTTCCGCGGTGCAGCCTGGCAAGGCAGCCTCCTGCCTGCTGGCAGGGAGGGGGCACCGGCTGGGGTCCTGCCATCCCCTCGGGCGCACACCCCCTGCCTCGAGACCTGACCCTGGGAACCGCAGGTGGAGAGGCGCGGGCTGTGCTTTCCGGTATTTGAGGACGCGGGACCCAGGCTTGCGGCTGCCGTCCCACCTTGTTCTTAACTGTCTGCAAGCAGGGGAGCCCGGGGCCCCACGGCACGTGACCACCGCCCACAGTGAAGGGGTTGAGGTCTGGCAAGACGCGCCCTCAGCACACGCAGACGGATGCCCCACCTCCCTTCCACCGGGACGTGCCCCAGATTCTACATCCTATACTGCCAGGACCTATAAATGGCTGGAAGGTTCCTGCAGTTTGCTATTTGGACACCACACTGCTACTCTCTCCAGGCGGGGGCATGGAGACCCTTCCTCACAGCCCCGACCTGAGGTTTGGAAAACGCTTTGAGGCTGAGCCCTGGGGTGAAGTTATGCTGAGCCCCCGTTCCGGGTTCATGACCGCAGGGGCCCTTCGTGTCATACTAGGATCCCCCCAAAGCCTCAGCATGACGCTATCCTCTAGCTGAGAAATCGTGCCGGTGCCTGTGGGATTCTGGATGGAGGCTGAGCTGATTACCCCATGACAAACCTGCTAACGGGGATGGCTACAAGGGGTGGGGGGATCACTTCACCAGATCCGGAGTAGAAAGAAATGGGAGGCCGGGGGAGGGCATGGAGCCGGAGGTAACTGGCGGTGGGTGATGATCTGGAAAGGCCTTCGTGATGGATTTGGGATGGCTTTTCTTTTCTTTTTTTAAAAAATTATTTATTTTGGCTGCACCACGCACCTTGCAGGGTCTTAGTTCCCCGACCAGGGATCGAACCTATGCCTCCTGAAGTGGAAGCGCAGAGTCCTCACCACTGGACCACCAGGGAAGTCCCTGGGATGGTTTTTCTTAAAGCCTGAAGCCCACTGTCAGGTTCCATGTCACGTGTCACCCACTGGCTGGAAGTGGCCGTAGTGGGCCTCATTGCTGGGTGGCGGTCATCAGCCTGACGTGCTTGGAAGGAGGCTCATCTCCTTCCCCCGGGGCACCGTTCTCCTCTCATCACGTTGTCCCTCTCAGCGCCTGCACCTCAGACACCAAGCCCCATGGACGTGGCTCCTGGTACCCTTCACTCTCTCTTCCTGTGGCTCCTGTGGTTCAGCCCTTCTCCATCTCTCCTGCCTCCTCGTCCAGCCTCTCCATCCCCCGTCTCACTTCCTGCTACCCGGCTTCCTTCCTGCAGCAGAGCCCTGCCCCCTGCCCTGCTCTAACACCTTCGATGGCTCCCCAGTGCCCACTGAATGCAGTCCAGGCTCCTCTGCTTGGCGTTCCTGGCCCTCTCTCCTCAGACTCCCAGCTGCCTCTACAGCCTGGCCTCTGTTTACTCTCCATCCTGTCCTGTCCCTGATGGCCCAGATGGTGTGACCGCTACTTCCTGTCCTCAGGGCGCCTCTCCGAGCTGTGCTCAGGCTGTCGCATCTACTGGAATGTTCTTCCTGGTTCTGTTGAATTCTGTCCAGTCTTCAAGGTCCAGCCCAAAAGCTCTATGAAGCCTTCCCTGACTCTCAGCTGGCTGTGACCCCTCCCTCCTCGGAACGCCACCAACTCTCTGGACTCTCCCATGACCCACTATTTTTTTTTTAAATTTGTTTTATTTTTGGCTGTATTGGGTCTCCGTTGCTGCGTGCAGGCTTTCTCTAGTTTCGGAGAGCGGGGGCTACTGTTCGTTGCGGTGTGCGGGCTTCTCATTGTCGTGGCTTCTCTTGTCGCACAGCATGGGCTCTAGGCGTGCGGGTTTCAGTAGTTGTGGCACGTGGGCTCAGTAGTTGTGGCTCGTGGGCTCTAGAGCACAGGCTCAGTAGTTGTGGCACACAGGCTTCATCGCTCCGCGGCATGTGGGATCTTCCCGGACCAGGGCTTGAACCCGCGTCCCCTGCATTGGCAGGCGGATTTTTAACCACTGCGCCACCAGGGAAGCCCCCCATGACCCACTTTGCCTCCTAGATACTGTTAAATGATTTGGGTTCGGAGTAGATTGCACTACCGTGGCCGATCCTTTCCCCCCTCTCTGCATCACATGACCATGAATCCTCCCATGGGTCGGGGGGGAGTATATTTTCCCCTTGACATTGGGCTTGGTCATGAGAATGCTTTGGCCAAAAGAATGAGCAGAAGTGACTGTACCAATTCTAACCGTCGGCCTTCAGAGACAGTTGTGTTGCTGCTGTTTTCTCTGGCACTTGTGCCATGAGAAGAGGCCTGGGATGGCCCCTGGTTAGGAAGGACGGAGAGATGGTGAACACCGGTGTCCAGCCTGCAGCTCAGACACCAACTCAGCTAAGCCCGGCCTAGACGAACTGACTCCAGTCAACCCACAGACATACGAGCAAGGAATCAATGCTTATTGTTGCTGCCCCTGAGACTTGGGGTAGTTTGTTATGCGGCCTCCTGTGTAAAAGCTGACAGGTACAGGGTCTTCCCTCCCTTACCCGTCTGTGAGCTGCTCGAGGGCAGGGCCCTGGAAACCTCTGCCCTGTTGGAGGAGGGGGTGCCACCCTGCTGGCTGACTTAAATAACCATCCAACAGCCGTGTCAGTACCTGGGTGACGAGGACCCCCCACTGGGAGTGGCACCCAGTTTGCTGAACACAGACCCCACCCCCTTAGAGGTCATCACCAGAGGCCCCACAAAAGATGCCGAGTGTCTGTGGGAAGTAACCACGCTGGAGCCCCAAAAGGCAGGTCAGCCAGAGCCTGTGGCATTGAACGTGGAGCTGAGAGGCTGGGGGTGGGTGGTCTTCAGACCTGGAGATTCAGTTCTCCAGCAGGGCCTGTCCACGGGGCAAGAAGACCTCACGGGGACCGGACGCTCAGCCAGAGGGGTCGCAGAGCGTAGACCACAGGGTGGATCCACGGGGTCCAGGGGGCCAGCAAGGGGCGTGGAGCACACTTTCACTTCGACGCGACTTACTTGGCACCTCTTACGGGACCAGCACTTTCAACTGGCTGGCCTGTTCCGGGGGTTCTTCTGCCTGCATGTCTCAGCTCACTCCTTTCCTTCCAGGAGTGAGGCAGGCCCAGGACCTCTGAGGATGCGGCTCAAGTGCACGTTTGGTTTCAAGGATTCAGTTTGAATCCTTGTGGACGGATGGCACACATTCATTCCGGCATATTATGTCATACATACACACACACACACACATACATACACATATATACATACACACACACACACATACGTATATGATGATAAACACTTCATTCAATAAGCATTTGCGAGCTCAGATCTAACTATTTCAAGCAAGACCTTATCTAGCAAAAATTCCAGTAGAATCAAAGATTCGCTCGCCCCTTTAGAGCTCTTGGTAAGGGGTGAGACCTCATGGGAGGCACTGAAGCGGTAGCAAAATTAGCCTGAGGACCCAGGCCCACGGTCATGTTCGGAGGTGCCAAGGCTGTGGGAAGGAAAAAGCCACATGGAAATCCAGCGCCGACCCCAGCACCCACCGCCCGAGCGAGGTCCCTGGTGCATCGGCGATAACGGCCCCACAGCTCTGTCACTGCTGTGGGTGCACAAGCCGGGGACCCAGTTCTGGACGGAGAGACCTCCCAGGCCTGGAGGCCGAGACGCACAACAGACACCAGGGCCCTGCCCCCATGAGCCATTCCGAGTGTCCAGCCCCAAAGCTGGCAGAGCTGCCCTGAGGGTTCCGTAAGCCTGGCACGTTCTCGATGGAGGAAAACGTCAACGTAAATTCCCAGAGTTAGAGATTTTCAAGAGCATGCGTGTCTGTGGTGCACGCCCTACCCCTACAGGTTAGGAAGAGGCTGCACAGAAGGAGGAAGGGACCCGCCTGGGGGGCTTTTGCTGATGGACGTGCCTCGGGCTGGACCTCTGGGCGCCGTGTCCCTCTGGTGACAGACTCTCCCCCAGTGGACACATTGTGCTGATTTCCAACAGGAAATGCATCAGAAAGACGCGAGCGCATCCGTCCCGACCCTGGCCTGGGTCCCATCGCAGCCGCACACCCCAGAGGGCTCCATAGGCTACAGACCAGCTCAAGTCCAGGGAAAAGTGGAGAACGCTGGGCCGGGCGCATCGTTTCTCACTCTGATCACCTAAGAAACACCAAGCTGGGATGACAGGAAAGCATTCGATCTGCTGTCTGAGCTTTGAAAGGCAGTCTGGCCGAGAGCTCAGCTCAAATCAAAGCACATTCTAGACGATGAGCCCACACAACGAGCCCGACTTCACGTCTTTCATCACTATGCCGTGTCGTGGCACCGAGAAGAGGACCAGAGCCTGGATCTTATGGGGGAGTTTTCATGCCTGAGAAATCACCAGCGCACCCGGCCTGGACGGCACGGCTCTCCCACCCGCTGCCCTGCTTGCCGGTTGTAGGGAAAACGGAGGGCTTGTTACCTGTAAAACTGGAGCTGTCTTTTGGGGCTCCCATACCGAGTACTGCGGACAGCAATGGAGGAGAGAGAAGGAAACAGGGAGAGAAGAGAGAGAAGCCACAGTTGGCATCAACCACGCACAAGGAGGTGCCAGCCCGGGAAGCATCTCTGACGCCCGGCAGCCCCAGCTTCACCCCGCCCTCTCGGGGCTGTCGGAGGATGTGCCTGGGTACCAAGTCTCGGTGGCAGCGCCACCCAGTGGCACAGGGAGGTGGAGGCCCGTTTGTTTGGGTGCCGGGCTCCTCTGTGCCTGGCCCTCGGTTTGGGTTTCTTTTTTTTCTGGCCACCTGGCACGCGCGTGCGCAGGCATGTGGCATCTTAGCTCCCCCGCCAGGGATTGAGCCCGCACCCCCTGCAGTGGAAGGGCAGAGTCTTAACCACTGGACCGCCAGGGAAGTCCCTCTGTTTGGGTTTTCATGAAACATGCTTTTTCAGACCAACGGTTGAAAACCTTCAAACCCAGGAATGCCCATCACCCAACACGCTGGGAAGTCTGCACGTGACCATGGGGTTCTTTGTAGGACCTGGATGCAGGAGGGACGCGCCCATTCCCTGTGGTTTCCACGGACGCGAGCTGCGGCTCAGGCCCTCACAGTTATCTGAAGGTCCAGTGGCTCAAGGACTGGCGGGCCCCAGGGTTCCACTTGTGCCCAGTCCTCCGTGACAATGATGCCAGTGACTCCCACCCCGCGCCTTCCCCATGCCCTCCCTGTGGTTCAACCTGGGCTATTTTCCAAACAGAAAGACCCAGGGCTGGATCTGGAAGCGGGCTCCACAAATAGGTCCAGGGGGTCCGGCGAGCACCCGGCTGCCCCCACCCTCCACGGGCTCCACTCAGGCCTGTAAGGCTTGGAGCCTTGCTCAGGGTGTCAGGGGAGCTGGTGGGACCACAGGGGCCACAGGACCTGCAGTGTGTGTGGGATGAGAGAGATGGAAACCAGGAAGGGCCTCTGTTACCTCCCACGGAATATTTCAGAAGAGTCAGGGACAAGGCAGGGGTCTAATCCTGGCTCCATCCCACCTGGAAAACCTTGGTCTTTTTCTTTCCCATTTTGGTCTTAAAAGCCTCCTTTCCTTGGAGAAAATGCTGGCTTGCGTGCACCTGACAGCCCTGTGGGCTCACTCGGCCCCTTCCTCTGGGCCAAGGGGAGGAGACTGGCCTGCGGACCTCCTCAGAGGCAGCACTGACCCTGGGAGGGCCTGGTGGGGTGGCACGGGGGCGTCACCTGTAGATCATGCCCGGGGAGCCAGTCTGTCGCAGGGAAAGCCGAGCCGGGGACCCCGTGGTCGATTCCGGATACATGGAGCTGGCCTCACTCGTCCCGACCCACTCCCTTCTTCAAGGAGGGAAGATCCTGGAGGGAGAGCAAAGAAGGAGGGGAGGCGGTTAAAAAAAGACCAATCAGTGTGGCCAGGATGCTCTGTGATCCCGAAGGCCTGGTTCCTTGAGCATCTACATATCCCTCATCAGACAGACAGACAGACAGGCCCACGGGGGTTCGGGTGAGGCTGATGGTCGGGTCAGTGACTGTGAAGGATTTCTACCCCTTCTTTCCAAGCCTCCACTCCGCCCCTCCCTGACTGCTTTTCTGAGGTTCTGGGAGCACTTTCTCGTTGCCCAAACTATGCAGAAATGGTGGTTGCAGAGGGAGTCTGTGGACTTGGGAATCTGGGCTGTCTTCCCCAGGCCAGGAAGTGGTACCACGGTCACCCAGGGTCATCCTGGATGCCTCACCTCCCTGACCCCTGACTCCTGCCCTGAGGCACCCCCGGGTAAGTGAGGGACACGGACGGGAAACCAGGACCACAGAGGGGAGGGTGCGCAGAGTGCCAGGCCTTGTGCGCTAGGAGCAGAGCCGTCCCCAAGGCCAGTCCAGATGCTGGTCCAGAGGCCCCGGGGAAGGCAGGGTGCATGATGTCCTCACACAGGCTAATGGGATGGGCAACAGGCAGCCAAGGGCAGGCCGGGATGCACGTGCCCTTTCCTGGGGGTGCTGCCCACCCCCACCCCTCGCCCTCGTCTCTGGCTTTCCCTGGGCCCAGCTGCTGTGTGGTGACACCTCAATCCCCAGCTCGGGCACTTAGGGATGCTTAATGTCCAGAATTCCGAGTCACAGACTTAATCTGCCCGAGTCCCCAGGTGACGCCCGTGTTGCTTGTCCAGGGAACACACTTTGAGGACCCTTGGCCTAAAGCCGAGCTCCGGGACGAGAAGTCGGCAAACTACTGCCAGCAGGCCAAAATTTTCTGTAAATAAGGTTTTATTGGAGGTTTTGCCTCCACGCCCATTTGTTTATGAATTGCCCACTTGTGCTACCATGATGGGGTGGGTCGTTGCAATGGAGACCGTCTGGCCTGCAAAGCCTAAAATATTTACTACCTGTCCCTTTAAAGGAAAAGTCGGCCGACCCCTGTTCTAGGCCATTCTCTCTCCCACTCTCCAAGATGACACGACCCAGCACCTCTCTCCTGAAATCACGAACACTTCCTTTCCCGTGTTACCCATAGCTCTCGACTTGATGCTTCCTATTTCACTAGCATCAGACCCATCCCCCAGCATCAGCACAAGGAACATTCTGCTTCCCTCCTGGCCACACCCACGGCACCCACACCCTCTGCCTCGCCCCCATTCAAGGGCATCCTGCAACAGGACTCTCGCCCACCAGTCCTTCCTTCTTTATGCGGCAGAACCATCTGCACACAATCAATTACTACTTCCTCTATCTTGGGACTTCCCTGGCGGTCCAGTGGTTAAGACTCCGCACTTCCACTGCAGGGGCACAGGTTCGATCCCTGGTCAGGGAACTAAGATCCTGCATGCCACGCGGTGCGGCCAAACCCCCCCCCCCCCAAAAACGACTTCTCCAGAAGGAAGGAAAGATGGTGGAGGAGAAGGACGTGCGCTTACTCCCTCTTGCAAGAGCACCGGAATCACAACTAACTGCTGAACAATCATCAACAGGAAGACACTGGAACTCACCAAAAAAGATACCCCACATCCAAAGACAAAGGAGAAGCCACAGTGAGATGGTAGGAGGGGTGCAATCACAGTAAGATCAAATCCCATAACTGGGTGGGTGACTCACAAACTGGAGAACACTTATACCACAGAAGTCCACCTACTGGAGTGAAGGTTCTGAGCCCCATGTCAGGCTTCCCGACCTGGGGGTCCGGCAACGGAGGAGGAGTTCCTAGAGAATCAGACTTTGAAGGCTAGCGGGATTTGACTGCAGGACTTTGACAGGACTGGGGGAAACAGAGACTCCACTCTTGGAGGGCACACACAAAGTAGTGTGCGCATCGGGACCCAGGGGAAGGAGCAGTGACCCCATAGGAGGCTGAAGCAGACCTACCAGCTAGTGTTGTAGGGTCGCCTGCAGAGGTGGGGGTGGTGGCTGTGGCTCACTGCGGGGACAAGGACCCTGGCAGCAGAAGTTCTGGGAAGTACTCCTTGGTGTGAGCCCTCCCAGAGTCTGCCATTAGCCCCAACAAAGAGACTGCAGACACCAGGGCTGGGTTGCCTCAGGCCAAACAACCAGCAGGGAGGGCACTCAGCCCCACCCATTAGCACACAAGCAGATTAAAGTTTTACTGAGCTCTGCCCACCAGAGCAACACCCAGCTCTACCTACCACCAGTCCCTCCCATGAGGAAACTTGCACAAGCCTCTTAGGTAGCCTCATCCACCAGAGGGCAGACAGCAGAAGCAAGAAGAACTACAACCCTGCAGCCTGCGGAACGAAAACCCCAATCAGAGAAAGATAGACAAAATGAAAAGGCAGAGGACTATGTACCAGATGAAGGAACAAGATAACCCCAGAAAAACAACTAAATGAAGTGGAGATAGGCAACCTTCCAGAAAAAGAATTCACAATAATGATAGTGAAGATGATCCTGGACCTCAGAAAAAGATCGCAAAGATCTAGAAGATGCAAGAAATGTTTAACAAAGACCTAGAAGAATTAAAGAACAACAAACACCTAGAAAAATTAAAGAACAAACAAACAGGAATGAACAATACAATAACAGAAATGAAAAATACACCAGAAGGAATCAATAGGAGAATAACTGAGGCAGAAGAACAGATAAGTGAACTGGAAGACAGAATGGTGGAAATCACTGCCACAGAAAAGGATAAAGAAAAAAGAAGGAAAATAAATGAAGACAGCCTAAGAGACCTCTGGGACAACATTAAATGCATGAACATTCACATTATAGGGGTCCCAGAAGGAGAAGAGAGAGAGAAAGGAACTGAGAAAATATTTGAAGAGATTATAGTCGAAAACTTCCTCAACAAAGGAAAGGAAATAGCCACCCAAGTCCAGGAAGCACAGAGAGTCCCAGGCAGGATAAACCCAAGGAGAAACACACTGAGAGACATAGTAATCAAACTGACAAAAATTAAAGACAAAGGAAAATTATTAAAAGCAACAAGGGAAAAACGACAAAAACATACAAGGGAACTCCCATAAGGTTAACAGCTGATTTCTCAGCAGAAACTCTGCAAGCCAGAAGGGAGTGGCATGATATATTTAAAGTGATGAAAGGGAAGAACTTACAACCAAGAATACTCTACCCAGCAAGGATCTCATTCATATTCGACAGAGAAATCAAAAGTTTTACAGACAAGCAAAAGTTAAGAGAATTCAGCACCACCAAACCAGCTTTACAACAAATGCTTAAGGAACTTCTCTAAGTGGGAAACACAAGAGAAGAAAAGGACCTACAAAAACAAACCCAAAACAATTAAGATAATGGTAATAGGAACATACATATTGATAATTACCTTAAATGTAAATGGATTAAATGCTCCAAGCAAAAGACACAGACTGGCTGAATGGATACAAAAACAAGACCCATACGTATGCTGTCTACAAGAGACCCACTTCAGACCTAGGGACACATACAGACTGAAAGTGAGGGGATGGAAAAAGATATTCCATGCAAATAGAAATCAAAAGAAAGCTGGAAGGGCTTCCCTGGTGGTGTAATGGTTAAGAATCCGCCTGCCAATGCAGGAGACAGGGGTTCAAGCCCTGGTCCAGGAAGATCCCACATGCCATGGAGCAGACTGTATGCCACAACTACTGAGCCCACGAGCCACAACTACTGAGCCCGCAAGCCACAACTACTGAGCCCACGTGCCACAACTACTGAAGCCTGCACACCTAGAGCCTGCACTGCACAAGAGAAGCCACTGCAACGAGAAGCCCACGCACCACAATGAAGAGTAGCCCCTACTCGCCCCAACTAGAGAAAGTCAGCACAAAGCAACAAAGACCCAATGCAGCCAAAAATAAATAAATAAATTTATTTAAAAAAAAAGAAAGCTGCAGTAGCAATTCTCATATCAGACAAAATAGACTTTAAAATAAAGACTATTACAAAAAACCAAGAAGAACACTACATAATGATCAAGGGATCAATCCAAGAAGAAGATATAACAATTGTAAATATTTATGCACCCAATATAGGAGCACCTCAATACTTAAGGCAAATGCTAACAGCCATAAAAGGCAAAATCGACAGTAACACAATCATAGTAGGGGACTTTAACACCTCACTTTCACCAATGGACAGATTGTCCAAAATGAAAATAAATAAGGAAACACAAGCTTTAAATGACACATTAAACAAGATGGACTTAATTGATATTTATAGGACATTCCATCTAAAAACAACAGAATACACTTTCTTCTCAAGTGCTCATGGAACATTCTCCAGTATAGACCATATCTTGGGTCACAAATCAAGCCTTGGTAAATTTAAGAAAATTGAAATTGTACCAAGTACCTTTTCTGACCACAATGCTATGAGACTAGATATCAATTACAGGAAAAAAACTGTAAACAATACAAACAGATGGAGGCTAAACAATAAGCTACTAAATAACCAAGAGATCACTGAAGAAATCAAAGAGAACATCAAAAAATACCTAGAAACAAATGAAAATGAAAACACGAAGACCCAAAACCTGTGGGATGCAGCATAAGCAGTTCAAGAGGGAAGTTTATAGCAATACAATCCTACCTCAGGAAACAAGAAAAATCTCAAATAAACAACCTAACCTTACACCTAAAGCAATTAGGGAAAGAAGAACAAAAAAACCCCAAAGTTAGCAGAAGGAAAAAAATCATAAAGATCAGATCAGAAATAAATGAAAAAGAAATGAAGGAAACAATAGCAAAGATCAATAAAAGTAAAAGCTGGTTCTTTGAGAAGAAAAACAAAATTGATAAACCATTAGCCAGACTCATCAAGAAAAAAAGGGAGAAGACTCAAATCAACAGAATTAGAAATGAAAAAGGAGAAGTAACAACTGACACTGCAGAAATACAAAGAATCATGAGAGATTA